GTCACGTCGAACGCTTCCCAGCGGGCCACTTCAAGGGGCTCGGCAGACCGCGAGTGCAGCAGATGAGATGTGCGCGCTGCGTCGGGGCAGGAAGATAGCTGCAGCAGCGGAGGGAGAGTCTCACTGTCCAGGTCTGGCTCCGGAGACCTACGGCGCAGCACGCGCAGCTGGGCACTCACCACCTCGTCCGCGTCTGGGAGGCCGGATACATCGAATAGAAAGTTCTGGCCAAGCTGGCCTCTTGATTCTTCTACAGGGCAAGGACAAAAACAGAGGCGAGTGAGAGTACAGGCGGTACACACAGCCATGGGGTCAGCTTTGTTTGACTTGGCTGGCCTGGACACATACATAGCTCTGGAAGGCCCATAGGAGCAGGCAGTCTGGGCTGCAGAAAGGATGCTGCTAATCTGCCCCCCGGCGAAGAGATCCTTTCTTGTCTCCTACACCTGAAGCCTTGGTTCTTCTGCCACCAACAACGACCACAGATTTACACACCTAATACCTGAACTGTGGGGCCAGGAGCACACCACCACACCCAGGACCAAATCTTAAGGCGTATTTAGTTCTACTGCCCGCACCTTGCCTTTCCCTAAATGGTAGGTCAGATTTCTGGTCAGGCGCATCTTTTCCCGAGGCTTTGTATGACAATTGCCCTATACTGCTGGCCTAAGCGCCCCCAGAGAGCTGCAAATTCGCCCTGGTTGTCGGTAAACGAAAAATTCTCATTCCCTAAAAAACATTTTCCTCTCTGGTGTCCTCTCATCTCCCAACCTAGGCTACTAGAGAAATTGGGCCCTGAGAACAGTCCAGAAACGAAATACATCAGCACCACGACACAGACCTCCTAGCCTCCAGCCCACCCAGTCCCTTTAGCAGAATGGAAATGAAGGCCCAAGTTAGCAACAGGTTCTCTCAAGCCCACGCCGAGCTTCAACTGTTGGTTGCCCTCCTCAACCTCATTCTTGGCTCCTCCTGGTGTTCCTACTGCCACCAACGGGAAGGGAAAAGACTGTGGGAGCAAAGAACCTTCCTGGAGAAGCTGCGATGGTGGCCTCAGTGAGCGGCTTAATCTTTCGCCCTGTGTGATTTATTTTAGGCTTGGGGTTTGATTTCTGGACACGGGCCCTTTTTCTTTGGGGGTGGACTCAGGCAAAAAAAAAAAAAGTTTTAATTCCAGCGAAGAGCAGATAAGGCAGAGCCTTTGAAGGTGTCATATGGTTTCATTTTGCCCCTTCCCAGAGAGACCATGCAGACTCCCCCACCTTCGGGATTTGTTCACCAACCCTGGACACCAGGCCTTCATGCCTTGTCTACAGTCTGGTGTATTGCTCAAGCAACTCTGTCTAATGAAGCTGGTGGTAGCCAGCTGGACAGAGGTGCTGGGCTGTGTCCCCAACCCCAGCTTTCTCTGCAGCCTCCACCTCAACCCACATCTCCAGGGAGGAAGAGAGGGAGGAAAGATGGCCGGCCTCTGGCCTTGCTGGTCAAGCAGGGAAAGACTTAGTTGGTTCTATAACACAGGACACCCAGCCAGCCCTAACCCAGTCTGATGCTTCAGCGACTTTAGGACTCGTCCCATGTTCTCAGCTCCTCCAGGGAGGGATCAGGAGTTTTCCCTGATTCTGTGTACCAGGATTGGAGCTTCCCTTGACTCGGTGTGGAGTGCTGTGACAGACCTTCTGAAGATGCACTGATCCTAAGGGCCATTTGAGCCCAGGATTTCTGTGTACAGAAAAGAAAGCTGTCTGTTCGAAGGTACTGTGTGTGTTTCTGAGATGGGTGATTACTGCATGGTGGCCTCTGCCTGTTTTCCCACGCTGGTATCAATGGTTTGCAGACTGTCTGTGGCTGCCCAACTTTACTTTCCTGATCATTTGCCTTCCTCTCCCTCCTGATTTCCAAGCTAGATCTTGGCTGGGTAGAATTAAAGCCCAAATTACTCGCATTTCCGCCTGAAATTAGTTACATTTTCCCTATCTGTCTACTTTAATGACTTCAATGGAGATTAATAAAAGCCAGATGACACACAGCCACTACCCGGCAACCCCACCCACACCCTACCTTTGGAGGCTCCAGCACCGGGTAAGATGGGACCCTTGAGCTCCAGGCATCCCTGTCCTCCCCACACAACCGAAGTCCTGGACTCTGGCCTCCAGGGCCTGGCTGCCACAGAGCACAGGCGCCCATACTCACTTCCCACACATAAGCCACTATCCACCAATGCCGCCTGCTGGGAGGGCCCTCCTGATACAGAGGGAGGCCATTTACTTTTTTCAGATACCTGTTTCTCTACCCTAATTTCTTCTTAACTCCTTCAATTTTTTGCGTCCTCCCCTGGAGACAGGGAGCTACCATCACTGCTAGTCCCTCTTGGCGGGAAACTCCAAGGTCCCCAGTCCTGTCCTTTCTTCTCCAAGGACTCCAGGCCCAAGGCCACTCTAGATCCTTCCCCCAAAGAAGTGGATCTTGAACTCTGCTCGACAGCTTCAGGGAGACCTGACAGTTCCAAAGAGGGATCCCCCACTCCCACCCCATCAGTCCTCAGAAACCAAGCCTTGACTGGTGTCATAGTCCAGGTTCGGATGCACTGACTTCCAAGTTTCTCTCTAACACCTGAAGATGGGATTCATAGGGCCATGGCTCAGACCGCAATGGAGCAGAAACTTGTCTCCCCCAGCTCCTCTCAGGCCAGGAGCAGACCGGCCGGAATGGCGCAGAATATATGCAAAGTACCTTGAGTCGCTTGGTCTATGAAGCCGGTGATCGTGTCCGCGTGGCCGTGCCCGGAGGTCTCTGGAGCCAGAGCCCTCCCAGCCAGGCTCCGGTAAAGTGACATCATGAAGTGGTGTGGTACCACTGAACCGTTCCTG